GTTCTATTTTACGCCTTGGACACCGTTGAGTTAGTTCGATTGCGATTCAGCTGGCGCCGCAGGGTTCTGTTCTTTATGCACATGTTTAGATTTTGTGAAGTATACCGCCCAAGCTATAAGTTCGTTATATGAACGTGGAGAAAATTAAAAAAAGCTGTTTCCTTTCAGCCCATTTGTAAACATTGCTTGTTTTTTTTTCTTTGTTCAGTTCATTTGCTGTTCGCCCTTATTTGAATAGATGTGTTGTAAATAGGCTCATTTTCACAGATTTCTCGACGTCCAACACTCTTATCACAACAGCGTTTCGAGCCGTCTTTTTATCGTTCGTGTAATTTATCATGTTGTTGGATGATTCTTTTCTGCCATGTCTCCGAACTCAACTGCCAAGAAACACATTTTCAGATGTCGGGCTTCTCGGAGACGGCAATGCGAGAGCGACTGAGTAAACTTAGGCCACAGCAAGACTGCATCAATACGTTGTCGATGTGGTTAATGCATCACCATCGACATACTGACGATATCGTACAAATTTGGCTAAAGGTACGTATATATTTTTTTATTTGGAAATAAGCTGGCTTAGGAAAAGAGAGAAGGTACCTCGGTATTCCGGGTGAGCTTTTTCTTGGGAAGGAAGGGATTCGCAACACTGCGGTCTCAGTTTTCCGCAGGGAGTGCTTTAATTGCTCTCTCCTTTAGCCGGCTTGTTCCCGCGCTTGAATCAATAATCTGCTAAAATCTTTCGAATACATTTGCAGGAAGTGCGAAAAGAAACGAACTCATCTCAGATAGTAAATCTGCTGTACATTGCTAATGATGTCATCCAAAATAGTCGTAAGAAGAATCCCGAAATGGCAGTGAAGTTCTACACCGTTCTCGAGCCAGCTTTCCGGTTTGTTCTCTATTTAATCGTTTCATTCTTGCTTTTTGATTGGGGTATTCCTATATCAAGGCGCAAACGGACGTCAGCTGGCTTAATTTCGAGTTGCGTTTGGGAACAGAGACCATGCTCTTTCAACTAATGTGCACTGGGATCCATTATATCCTCGGTATTTGCCTCACCTAGAAAGGGGGGATAGGGCTTCTCTTTTGCTGACCAGATCGATCATGATGTGTTTAGGGTGTTCCCTGCTTTTACGGCTCTCCTTATCCCTACTGTTCGGTAGAACTTCCAAATTTAGTCAAAAAGTCAAGAAACCGTTATAAGCTCCTCTCGGAAGCTTTTTTCTGTTCGTTGCAACATACAGTTTAGATTGGTGCAGAAGGGGCGGAATGAGTTGGCGCAGTGCCAAAGCCGTTTACCACCTGCTGTTGAAGCGAGCAAGTGACAAGACAGTATCATATCGTTCGTATCACTATTTTCTACCAATTGTTGTCGCATACCCGCTTCATCAACTGGCAGAGAACGGATTCGGCGCCGTGGCACGCCCCTTCATCCGCACCGAACTAGAGTTTGACTCTAATTTTCTCCATCGAAACAAATATCCTTATGTTCAAATAAAGTGATGCTAGCTGTCTGTAACACCATCTCACCCAATCATTATTGCGCTTTTTGATTTGCTTCTATTCCATATCATATGATTCTTTCCAAACTTGGGCTGATTTTATACTACTAGTTAGCCAATGATCTTTTTTCTAGGCACGCTGCCAAGATTTCTGGGCCAGATCTCGACAAAGCGATGATTAAGACTCTCAATGTGTGGCGAGACAGGCAGATCTATAGTGAAGATCAACTCGCCATGTACGTTTTTCTCGAACAGTCCTCTCATCTTTGTTTCTAGTTTATAAATTTCTCAAGCTTAAGGAACACAATGGTGTCATTGCTACCAATTCTGATTAGAGGGTGGTCGTATCAAACGCCAGGCATTTTTCTTTGGTATTATAAGATTTTCCTTTATCGCTTAGTTGTAGTGCCGTCGCTATCATTTGCTGGGTCATTTCGGTTATTAGTTGTTTTTTAATGATGCTGGGTAAGCCCCTATGAAGACCTATCTTTGTCAGATAGCTGTGCTTCGTGGTCCAGCTTGGCTTAGAACAGTCAAGGAGCGAACTTAAAAGAGCGGGATGTTTAAAAGTAGTATGTAGTGCCATTTTCCTTGCACGGAAAAAATTAATTGATTGGGAACAGTGAAAGAGATGTGTTTTGTTGCACTATGGTGTGAAAGATGCTAGGGCACTCAATTCTGATGAGGTCCAAGGTAGTGCTCTCTGTTGACAAGATTCTTTTTACGCTTAATAGTGATTACACTGTGACAGTTTTTGATTTCTTCTCCACTACGGTTCTTCTTGACGGAAGTGGTGTAGTGACAAGTGGCGCGCTTACCACTCGCGCGGTCCTGGGTTCGAATCCCAGGTCGACTCCCGCCCAGGCCAACCAAGCCTTCTACCCTCCGGGGACGGTAAATTGGTACCAGATTCGTCTGGGAGGATAAAACACTGACTTGTACATCGGCTGGCCCCCGCAAGTCATTGTATACCACATCGCATTCAATAAGCCACTACGATTCTGAATGGAAGTAGAATGCGTGCCGCATCCCACAAAGGGATTGATCAACGGCGAAGACTTTATCCTTTATCCTTTTTTACGGTTTTTTTTTACAAAGCGAATGGTATCACAAGCTTGACGTGTCATATGCGCTTTCCTCCAGTTGGGATTGCCTTGATTAATGCCAAGCGTATTGCTTACAACTCATAGTCAGCAACCTCGAAACAGTGGTTGTAATGTGCCCACCTCTTGACGCGTGCGTACTGGTGTTTGCATTCCTAAAATAAGGTATTTTGATTCTCAGGAGCTTATTAGGCAATAAGTATCAGATGTTATTCGGCAATAACCTATGGTGTATATCAATTCTTGTGAAATTGCTAGGCGATGAACGTCTCTCAGAGGCGTTTGACTGCAAGTTTGATCATTTTGTCATCCTCTCTTTTGATTTTTGATTCATATGCCGCAATTATTCTTCTGAAAATTGTTTCGTGAGGACACTTAAAAGCTGGATGTTTTCCTCCTAGTACTCCGGACTTTACCTTCATTCAGAAAGTCATGACTAACTGCAGAACCTTGTTTTTTTAACGGCATCAATTTTAGCCTTGATGCTGTTGTGAAGCGACGAAAATCGAGCAGTATCAACAGTGTCGTGCACTCACACGTTCATGCTCCACATGTGCCTGAGCTTTTCTCCTCATCGGTGAGATTTGCTTTTTCTTATAGTTCTTGTCTACAGCAAATAGCTGTGGAATAACACAATGCGATTTTACTCGCTAACTATGAGGCCCTAGTGTGTGTTCATATTTTGCTTTAGCGCCTTAGCCGACTAAGGGAGTATGGGTCCTAAGTCCTATGTTTCAGGCTGCACCACCAGCTCCACCACCCGAATATGACTCAGAGTTAGTTAGCTCGAACGTGACGGATGTGTTGGAGTCGCTACGCAAATTAGATTATCCTCCCAGCGCGGATGCGGAAGTCAGGCATGTGAAACGTGTTGCAAGTTAATATTCAGGATAGATGTATTGTGCGATTCTCATTTTTAGACATCTGCCAGCAAGAAACTGTTGGATGAAATCGCGGAAGCCGAGCCGCTTGTGAAGGATTACTGTCAAAGGTGGGCCTCTATAAGTGCGCTGTTTTTGACATTCTATTCTGTTGTTTGGATTATCCTGAACGTCTAACCATCTATCGAATGTAATGTGTTTTTCGTGTGTATTATCCCCATTCCTTGACCAATTTAGTTTTTGTTCAATTTAAGGTTAGCAGATGAGATGCTGGAACGTCGAAATTTACAAAAGCTGTTCGATGATATGATACGAATGTCCGAGCGACGGTGGATCTTCACGAGAGATTGCTAAAGGAGGTCAGAAGGAAAGAAGAACGAGCACGAAGCGATCTCGCTGAGGTGAGCGCCTTCTGAATGTTTTTGGCGTTGATGTAGCGCAGGTATACGATATACGATGTGCGTTCTGCGAAGAGGTAGATGACGTGTCGCTGACGTCACCTCAAAGACAGCTCCTGCGATAATTGTGTCATGGATAGTTGCTTTTCAATTATGAAACAGTAGCTGATAAGTAATTCCCCAAAGAAGGAAAAAAAGCAAGAAGAGTCCTCAAGAACACTATAAACAAAATCGCTCCCTGGCAGTCACACCTTCCTGCGGTCTCTGTGCAACCCCTGGCTCACAAATTCCTTTATCACATCTTCCAGTAGTGGGTGTCATCCAATGACTTCCAAAAACCAGGCGTCTGAAATTAGAGTTACGGTAGCAAGCATCTTTTAGTGTGGAGTAGTGCGTCGAGCTTTTGCACCACGAAAATTGGGTCGCTCGTGATTTTTACGCCTTTTACCTTGCGAGATGGATAGAAGTTGACTGTATGTGCCCCTAATGAATAAAATGTAATAAAGGAGAGCAGAACCATTCATGAACACACGAGCGCGGTCAGCAAAAAGGCATGCAATTCCGATTAATGCCCGCCGCCCCAACAAAGAACAACTGAGCGGCCCTCCGTCAGAGGGCATCTAGCAAGTGGGCGGTCCAACTGAGCGGGCGTTAGAACTAGAACTTTCAGCGGCTGTAGCTCGCTCCTCGCTCGCTGTGGAGTCGCGAGAGTGGGACAGTCTCTAGCTTGGGGGCTGTACTACTTGCACAAAGGAAGGACGACCATGTACTACTTCGCGCGGGGGCTGTCTTTAAGGATGATTGTGACACCATAACAAAGATACAGTACAATGTTTAAATGTATTAACGTGCTACAGCGGCCGTCATTTTCGTTTCAGCATAATTTAGATGAAGAGGTTATCCTCAGCAATTCATGATAGGCAGTGAACCTGCGCTACATCTTATTTGTTACAGTTTTATTCATTCCGGTCATCCTGTCATCTTAGGAAGGTGGGGAATTATTTTTCGAGACTATGCTGCTCCCTGAATCCGCACACCCTCATTCTGACGCCAGCTTTAAAAACGTAAAAAATAAGAATAATAGTCCTAAGGAATGGTCAGCTGGTTCCACTAAGTAAGGTGTTTTTTTTCTGGGTTTTAAAGTATGCAGAAAGGTATTCTCTTCACTTAGTTCTGACAGTGACAATTGAAGCATTCTTGTAAGTCTTTGTTTGGGAGGACACATTATTTTATCATTGGGCCTGCTATCACTATTTACCCTTAATTGCCATAATCTTCGAAATTTAGCATTCCGGGTGAGTACTGGGACGACTGTATTATTCACTGAGAGCGTTCAGTTCCACTCTGCTCTAGGGCGGTAATCCAGATCTGTCCACGTCTTTTTCAGCAAAAAGAATGCGCTTGGCGTCAGGTGCAGGTGTTAAGACCAGGTCTGGCACCGGTGCCCGTAGCGCAAGTAATTATGCGTGTTCGTGCCAAGCAAATACGACATCTCTTCGCGTGGAGCCAATAAATTAAGCCTTGGTTCTGGTTCAAATGCGCCATGCACGGGTACGGACAGCTCTGAGCCAAGCAAGTCTTGTGGGAGGGGGGGGGTTCAGACAAGGTCAGAATTTCACCACTGAAGTTCCAGAATTTTAGCAAACTCTTCCCACCAACCAAACCACGTTGGCACTATTTACCCAGCACTGCCTCGGTCACTGCGAAATTTCGATGACCGGAATAGTGAAGGATAAATAGTGCCAACGTGGATTGTTTCATAGTGCTAACGCCTCACTAATGTCACGCACTGCTTTTACAAAATTATTTTTTCTTCAAGGTCAGAAAAGCGTTCGATTCACTGCCGGATCTCACTGAGGTGACTGAGGACGCCCCTCTTCCGACTCTCGAAAACCTATTTGATCTCTGATCGGTTGTGCTACAAACCGCTGATCATCGAACATGAAATTCATTGTTATGCAGTATTGTGAATGCTTAGTTTTATTTAGATTATGTATCCGTGAATAGCTAGCTTCGAAGGCGGGTTCTATCTTGATTTCATTTTCATTATTCTGATAGTATTACAATATTATTTTCCTTTTGTTTTGTACATACTTAAGGATTCGTTGCTCTTGATACGACAAGTGATGAAAGTAAAGTTCGTTGTTACTACTTTTCATAACTGCCAGTTTTGTTTTTTTATTGCCCATTTTTGCGGTAAAGTATTTATTTTTCTTATGTTTGCTTTACTATGAGGTTCTAGCCAGCTATTTTCGTTTTCTTGTTTATTGCAGAATTGCTTAGACCATTCACAGATAATCTAGGGATCATGGGGATTGTGGAGAAGATTGCGGAGGTGGAGCGAGAAATCGCTAGAACTCAGAAAAATAAGGCTACTGAGTATCACCTTGGCTTGTTGAAGGTATGCTGCTGTTTTGACTGCTCTGATGATGTTTTTGTCCATGCAGGGTAACAAAGCTTACTTGTAGGCAAAACTTGCCAAATACCGTCAACAACTTTTGGAACCAGTCGGTGGGAAAGGTGGATCAAAAGGAGATGGATTCGATGTGATGAAAAGTGGAGACGCACGTGTAGCAATGGTGAGCTAAGCTCTTGCTTTTTCAACTGTATCTGATTTTTGCCATATTTTCCTGTTCAGGTAGGCTTCCCTTCAGTCGGAAAGTCAACGCTCCTTTCAACAATGACGAGTACACACTCAGAAGTGGCTGGATACGAATTCACAACTCTTACATGCATACCTGGAGTGATTAACTACCAAGGAGCTAATATTCAACTCCTCGATCTTCCTGGAATCATTGAAGGCGCATCTCAAGGAAAAGGTTAGAATTCCATGGTGATTTTACCTGCTAATGCCTGCTCACTCCTCGATTGGTTGGTAATTTTAATGTGTGGCTGGCATAGTCTACTAACTGCTGTGCCCTACCTAGGCAGCCTTGCCGTCGAATGCGCGTCATACCCTCGCGAACAGTGAACATGACGGTCGGGGTACTTGTGTTGTAACTGAGCAGATGATTGAAAAGTTTGAGCTGGGTTCCATCCGTAGAGAGTTCAAGGAGAATTTACCTTATCAGGAAAGAATAGCAGGATGAAGTGAAAACTTGGAGAATTTGTGCTGACTGACGCTTTTTTAACGTGGATCTACATTCGAAAACTGTTAAGCGATTTTCTGAAAAAGGTTTGTTGTGCACCACACACGACTGCATAGCAATATAGTAGTATTAGTGAACCGTAAGTTGACAAAGTCTGCTTCAACTGCTGAAGGTCAAAGCGATCGGTTTCATGTCTTTATTTTCAAATGTTCAACTGCTTGGTCGATGCGTTCCCATCCATTTGCTATGGATGGTCTCTACACATCGTAAAACTATTTTTTTGCATTCTAGGTAAATCTGCTCTTTTGTGCAAAATCGCTGTTTCCGGGGGTGGATAGATTTTCCAGATCCTCGATCGACACTTCTGCTCGTTGGGTCCTCCTCTGCGGCCTTCAAGCCCAACAAAAATGAGACTAAACGCAATAGAGTGGCTGCCGATGTCATGACAAGACCGCCACAGTATCCCTAAACATTGGGTTTTCAAGCGAGAATACTTCATTGCTCACAAGGCACTGCATCGCGTACTATCAGACTAGGAGGATGTATTTGTGAACCCATGACTGCTCCACTCATTCGCAGTGTGGTCTGAATCGCAAGTATTTGTAACCCACGACCACCAATTTTTTTTCGAGTAAGGACGGGAATTTCAAATTTGGCTATTAACGCTTTTATCGGTAAATCGAGCTGAAGAGCCCGAAAACCACATACTAGGAGCGAAGAACTGTTTGAGGTGATTGGCTCTGCTTATTTCTCTTGCACACACACACACACACACACACACACACACACACACACACACACACACACACACACACACACACACACACACACACACACACACACACACACACACACACACACACACACCACAAATTGTTGGCGACGCCGGAATAGGAACACGATATCTAAGTGAAAAATAACTAAAACTACTTTCCTATTCATCGGGCCACTAATTTGAGTTTTTGCCATATTCGGGTTTTCTTTTTTGACCCACATGTGTGTTAAGTGTGTGGTCTGCTCCCAAAAAGCATTTCTGATCGCGTTCAAAAAGCCCATCTGATGATACGCATATAATTCCAAACGGCCACTCCAACCTACCATCATTTCCTGTTTCTTTCCCGTACCTTTCCAGCTTTCGCTAATGGTTTTTCACTTGAATAATACAGAATTTTCATTGAAGGTCGAGGACGACAGGTTATAGCAGTTGCTAAGACTGCTGATATCATCCTGATGATGTTGGATGCTGGAAAGTCTGATCAACAACGTCCTTTGCTAGAGAGAGAGTTGGAGTCTGTTGGTATTCGGTTGAATAAGCGGCCGCCTCATATATACGTCAAACAGAGGAAGGTATACAGTAGTCAAACGAAGGAATTTCAGCGATCTTTCCATTCTTGTTCCAGGTTGGCGGCGTCAAGTTCACCCATACCGTTCCATTGACACATTGCAATGAAAAGATGATCATGACGATTTTGCACGAATACAAGATTTTTAATGCTGATGTCGTGTTCCGGGAAGATGCAACGTATGTTTTTTTTCATGTTGTGGGTTATTTCTTGATAGATAAAGCTTGGAACACACATACAAACACGTCAGTAGCTTCTTCTCTTACATTTGGTGACTTGGTTTTCAGTTGACTGAAGCACAGGGGTTATTACTATTCCATCTCTGAAAGTCTTATGCCAAATAATTGCGAGGCTTTTTCGGCAAGAAGGGAGGCGCTGTTTGGCGACGGGGGAGAGGGGGGGGGGAGGGGAGGGGGAATTTTGCACTTTAACGACTTCCCATCGACGTGTCGACCCATCTAGACAGCCTCTTCTCGAGTTGACAGGTTTTACCATGATGGCTTGACGAGCTTGCTCCAGCTTCACAAGAGTTCACAAGTTTCACCAGAGTGAGACTTGTAAACCGGAATTAGTGAAGCAGTAAAAGTGAAAAATGCCTCCCCGCCGCCGAACTGTGCCGGGGATCGCATTTGCCTTCTGGACTCTTTATAAAGAGGCTGTTGACTTTTCGTGATTTCTCCTGGTTCATACACTCGAAATCCCTGAGATGTGGTGGGCCTGGCTGCCAACATGGGCAATTTCGGCATGGGTGGCACTATTTGCCACCACGCTACCTCCGCTCCCAGGATATCACTAATATTATGTTGGATGTTATGTTCTTGCTGCTCTTGATATTATTGGTTTAGAAGAGAAAAAATAATCAAAAACGGATGAAAATATGATTGTAAAGCTTGTTCCAATTTTTTCTTACTTTAACTTCACTTGTGAGCAAAAGGTTATAACTCATAGAGCACCGGTTCCCGCCCCGCATACCGGGCGGGTGGGCCATTCGTTACTCGGGTTCGAATCTTGCACGAGATCATGTCAATCGTCTATGGATCAGTATTCTTGTGATATTTTTTGAAAGCGCGAATCGCGTCGATGATCTCTAGTTACCCTTAATTGATCCTAGTTCCGTGGATGTTAATCTGGCCTGTTATCATCTTATGAAGTTTTAGCTCAATTTGATCCTATGACCTTTTAGCTTTTCCAGCCTCTTAAATTTTATTTTTTAGCGTCGACGAATTCATTGACGTTATTCAGGGGAACCGTGTATATATAGCTTGTCTCTATGTATACAACAAGATTGATCAAATTTCTATTGAGGAGGTTGATCGACTGGCCAGGTGTGTTTTATTCTAATCATAACTTAGTAAGTTACACCTTTTTTTCATCAGGTATGCTTGTAAAACAAAAGGTCGCATATTTGTCATGATCTTTAGATAAACCCTTTCATCCCTAGAGGAAACTGCTTTCATTAATTATTCAGTTTTTTCAATGTTTCAGGTTACCACATCATGTGGTGATATCCTGCGAAATGAACTTGAATATGGACTACTTGCTGGAGAAGATATGGGAGTACTTGGCTCTCGTTCGCGTTTATACCAAGAAACCAGGACATGCCCCTGATTTAGGTAACATCTGATTTTCTTAACGTTTTCAGCGGCATCAAATAAGGGGTGGGAGTAGTCTGTTGTGTGAAACTCCTCATGAAAAAAAGATGTCCGCAGAACGTGCTTCTTTCCAAATGCTTCATCCGAATCCTGCTCAGAAAACATAGCAGCGCTAGATTTATCCGTTAAAGTTGATCTATGTGGGCATTTTGTTGATGATAACCGCTACTCCGACGGTTAATTTAAGCAGATTAATTTAATTTCCTCACTTTTGCTGACCTTGTCAGCGACTCATCTTCACTAATCGTACTATTTGTTACCGTTTTCAAATTTCTCGTGGCTACAAATCATCCACGAGGCGTTTTTTGCCAACCTTGCATGAAGCATCCACGGCATGTAAATGGCACATATTAGGCTCCAGTACGTTCCCCGCCCTCGGATAACCACGCCACCTTCTGCCGCCACATAATTTACATTATTATTCCACATATTATACGGTGTATATTGCATTTTTACTGGTTTTCACACTTTTTCCATATTACGCATACACTATTACACATATACATTGTTGAACGCAGTTTCATTTAATGGCACACTACACTCCTAATGGTGCACTGCAATCCACTATGAAGTAGGCGGACTCGCCTTCGACAACTCCGCCTACTTCATAGTGGACCAGTCGCCTCGCCGGCTGACGCCGGCGCGGCTCCTTCTGATACGGCCCGGCTGCGCCGGGCGGGCGCGGCTTCGCCGCGCGTACCTTCTCTCACATATTTCTAGACTCAACTGATATCCGCCTTTTGTTCTGTACTCCACTTTTCTCCGGTCTTGAGCTGTTCTTCGTCTGACTCCGCCCACCTCAGAGCAGACCCCGCCCACAATTTTTGTGCCCCGCACTCTTCACAGGCGACCCCCTGCTGACCTTAATCCACTTTTTTCCGGTGTCTGAAGTGTTCTGGAACCGTTCTGCAGAGTTTTTGTCTGGCTCCGCCCACCTCGAAACAGGCTCCGCCCCAATTTTTGTGCCCCACAATCCTCATTGGCGACCCTCTGCTGACCTTGATCCACTTTTTTCCGGTCTTCGGAGTGCTCTGGGAGAGTTGAGAATTTTGTCCGGTCACGCCCAACTCGGCTGGCCCGCCCACAACATGTATACCCCGACATTTCTTAATCTGCGACGGCTCTGAATTCACATTATTTCCAGTCTTCAGAGTGCCTGGAATCAGTTTTACAGACCCTTTTTGTCTGGCTCCGCCCACCTCGAAGCAGGCTCCGCCCACAACGTTTTTGCCCCACGGTCCTCACCTTCGACCCTCTGCTGACCTTAATCCACTTTTTTCCGGTCTTCGGAGTGCTCTGGGAGAGTTTTGGAGAATTTTTGTTTGTCTGGCGTTTTTGTCTTGTTTTTTTTGTGTCTTGTTTTTTGTCCACCTCGGGCTGCCCCGCCCCCAATTTTCGTGTCCCACAATGCTCACCGGCGACCCTCTGCTGCGGCCCTTAAAATTCACCTGTTGTTTTGTTTATGGTCTTCGGAGTGCTTCTGGAAGCCGTTTCAGCAGGCTTTTTGTCTGGCTCACCACACGCTTGGTCAGCTCTCGCCACAATGCCTTTTTGCACCTAGCATCCTCTACCCGCGAGATCTTCTGCCGACCTTGACGCACGTTTTTCCGGTCTTTGCAGTGCTCTGGAACCGAGCTACAAACTTTTAAAGTGAGTATCCTGCGGTTTAGGGCAAGCTCCGCCCACTGTGGGCGGATCTCAACACACTTTGGGCATGCCCAATACTCGCCAGATATTTACATTCTGCACTGAGCTTTTTGCGGCTTCTGAACACTCTCGCGAACCGAGTTACTGAGTTTTATGCGAAGCACCGCCCACCTTGAGTACGCCCCGCGCGCTGCATTTGTTGAATGTGTCTGCCACAGTTAGTCTGGCGACTCCTTACTAACCTTATTCCCTTTTTCACCATCTTAGGCTGCTCCGGAAGCGAATTATGAACATTTTTCTGTGAAACCCCAAAATTTCAGCGAGTGCCCCCCCACTGTGGGCGGGGCTTCGCATAGGTCAAGTGTGCTTTTTATTTCTTGTCCCATTTTTATTTCTTGTGCTCTACCCATCCCCACTTGACTTCCGACTTCTAAGTCGTTTCTCAGCTCGAGCGCGAATTTCCGGACAGACAAAGCAACAAACACATACAAACGAACGAACGCGAATTATATATGATGCTGGGTGATTATAGTGTCCTGTCAGACCTCTGCATCGTACCTTCACTGGAGCATATGTCTCACTTGCCACAGGGAATTCGCTGACAAATAACGGATCACACCTCACACACACGGCACAGGATATCTCAGTGAGATATACGTAATATTAATATACTGATTATACTATATATATATCATATATAATATATATATATTATATAATATCATATATATAGATATATAATTATATAAGTATTAGGGTGTCCGGAAAGTTTTGAGAAAATTTCGCTGCCTCACTTTGAGAAAGCGTAGCGCGCGAAGGCCATGAGCAAATCTGTAGATCAAAACATGGGAAGATAGAGGATTGTCTGTAGATCAAATCAGCAGCTGACCAATATTTCATTTCGTCATTAGCCTTTGTTTTGACCAATCGAATAATGTGCGACAGACGCTACAGTCGACGCATCCTAATTCATCTTCACCGTTCCGGCCGCGTCGCCCATCAAGCGTAGCATGATCGATGTCGTCGAATGGTGCGCAAGCACCTTCTCATTGCAACCTGCTTACAGATGGTTACATCGCATGGAAGAGTTTAGCCTCGATGAAGCACTCTCGATGCGACGCCCTCCTCTTGCCATACACTGGCGCTCATGCATGGCCTCTGGAGGGCCAATCTCTGCCCAAAGTTCTGAGGGACCTTGAGAGGACGACTTCCACTTTTCGATCCACTATTCACGGCATTCTGAAAAGGAACGGCTTCCGCGCTGTTTTGCCCGGAATCATTCCTCGGTCTCTAACCGCAAGGGAGCGTGCGTGAGGGTTGAATCGTGTGTCAGCAGAGCTCCTCGATCGGAAGAACGGACGACTTGGGCGAGCTGCATAATTGCTCAGGATGAAAAGTGGATCTCGTACGAAAACCCGGATAGGAAACTGGAGTGGCTGCCGTCGGATCAAAAGCCGGAGCCCGTTCCAAAGCGAGGCTGCCACGCCAAGAAGGACTTGCTCTCGTTTTTCTTCTGCTCCACCGGCTGTATTTACTACGAGATTCTTCATGAGGGTACTACTGTAACATCATCGATATTCTGTGAGCAACTACGAGAGCTGGTGTCCCGAGCTCCAGTTTCCCACCAATACCGGGGCAAGTTCCACATCGTCATGGACAACGCCCGACCACATCATGCGAAGGCGACAAGGGACGAGCTGGAGAATTTAGGAATCGAATGGCTGCCCCATCCTCCGTATTCACCTGACCTTAGCCCTTGTGACTGCCATGCTTTCAGGAGTCTCCAGGCTTACGCTACGGGTAAGATGTTCAACAACCATCAGGATGTCAAGCGTATGGTCGATGAATGGATTGCGTCCCAGCCTGCTTCCTTCTGGAAGAAAGGTATCCATGCCCTGCCGCATTTCGGTTCGAGAGAGATGTCGTGGCTAAGAAGGGCCACTATCTTGATTACTGATTTTTCGCTTTTCTTGTTGTTAATATGTGTTGAATAAAATGACCGAATTTTCTCAAAACTTTCCGGACACCCTAATATATATATATATATATATATACATATATAGGTAGATCGAATATTATGTACACTTGGAAAATGGAAATGTGAAGTAAATCTTGGAAAAAAAACGTATTCTTGGTTGAAGGTGCGCGTATGTCGTGGTTTCGCACCACAATAAGTGTATTATCACTGTTTACCATTCTGCGCATCTCATTTGCATGGGAGCGTTAAAACAATCGGCCTTCGTCGTTAGCGAGGCCATAGGAGCTATTGGGTTCGGGCGCGGCGGGGTGGAGAGAGAGAGAGCTTATTGGCGGAGGAGGTATACAGCTCAGCTCAACATCACATGGCGTCCGTTGAATTCTTTTCACTACTGAGCTTAATAGATTGCGACCTTTTATTTTTTTTGTAGTTCAAAGCTTTCTCTCGCAAAAAATTCTCTTTTTATGCTCATTAGCACTTGTTGTTTGCCCGCTTAAGACCAGACTGCTGTTAGGCTCTACCAGATGTGGACCAACAGTCTGCCACAGATTTGTGGGTTGTCGGAAGAACTGCATATAATTGCTGATTATCCTAGAATCACTTTATAATACTGCTCAAGAAGTGCGTTACGCATTTAGCATTGAGAACCTCAGCATCAGTAGTACATGGCTAATGTGTTGTTTGCTAGCTGACGGCGATGTGGGTGAAAATATGCCAATAGCTAAACTGCCGCGTTTGCGCATCGAATTTCTAGCGCCACTCTCCCATAGATGCGGTAATCTCCCATTCAATCAACCTTTCCTTATGTCTTGCGCGTGGCCTGGCTATTCTTCACCTCCGGGCACTGAAGGTTCGCCATTATTCCGCTATTACTACTCTGAAAACTAAAAAAAAATTTGTAGAAACTTTGCCCACAGAGGAAATTCAGTGAACTTGATATTCATTTTTGGCGCTCGTGCCGTTTGGTGGAAGGAGTAGCAAATTTGGCGCTGTCAACTATCTGAAAACTTGTATACGTGGATTATTTAACATCCTGGTCACAAAGACACACTCTAGGCGACAGTGTCAATGTAGGGGTTTCTGATCATCTGCGCTCCGCTAAAACTGAGGCTAGCAGAGGGAAATCGTTCCTCTTTCGAGGGTCAGCCTTAGCAGAGAGCTGAATTGCGCTGATGTCAAAAAGTGAAATCGTTTTCGTGCTTAGGATATCAATCAACCCTATTAATGCAGTTTTCCTATTTTGTTGGAAAAGATGGTGTCGATAAACTTGCGCCATTTGGCGTAAGATGGGCCAGCGAAAAAAAAAAGACGAATGCCTTATTCGAGTTCAGAATGCCGTCTCCAGGT